ACATATGAATTATTGATGGGATGCTTTCAAAGCTGTGGCGTCACTGGGTATCCATTGTTACCTCTGTTGTTGTTTGCAGGGTAGAGCATGGAGGCGAGGTGGGCAGGGATCAACTTAGCTCCTTCACATAAAGTGCATTCAGCGAGAACATCTTTGTTTTTTAACACATTTTTAATATGTTTTTTTCTTGGTTTTACTAATATTGCCACACTCTACAGGTATTTGACCAGTGCTGATAGTATGCAGATAGTGTCTAGTTCGTATGTTAAAGCACTTGATACCAGCACATGAATGTCTCACATATGTTTAGATCAAAGGGTATCCACTTTTAAACTTTTAAAGGTTTTTCTTTAATGTCATATTCATAGGGAAATGAAATGTCAAATGACTTTAAGACTAAAGTAGCTGTTATGTCTGTTCAGGTCTAGTGTACTGATCTGGAAAAGAAGAAGCCTGTGTCACACACACCTCCCCCCCCCCCACCCTTAAGGAATGGGTTCACAGCCAGGCGGTGGGATACAGCTCAAAAATACAGAGGAAATATCCTGTATTCATAGCATGGGTGCCTTGGCCATGCGTGAACTGATGCTGATGACATTCACATGTAGCTGTGATGCCTGAGTGGCTTAAGTTGCTCTGAGGGTCTGTGCAGAGAAGCAAGGAGGACAGACACTTTTTAAACAGACAAACACTTTCGTTGTGTTTTATCTGTTGAAGGCTATGAGCACAAATTTGACTAGAAACACGCAATGCGTGTGGCTGATGATGTAAGAAAGGTAAGACACACGAAATGTAATGTGTGTATGATGGACAAATTATGTTTCTCTTCTAAAAGCTTGACAAAACTGGAATCAATTCATTTGAGCTCTGATTAAATGTGGATGTGAGATGTTATGCGATTGTATATGAAATTGAATTTAAAGTGTAACTCCAATACCAATGATACATTTTAGCTATGAATATATCACAACGTATACAATACCTTGAGGTCAATAATTACAATAAATGAAAAGCAAATCCCTTTCTATTGTCAGTAGATATTATTATATAGCAATCCTTGAATGTCCGCATATTGACAACAGTGGAAAACATACATTTAGAAACCTCTGCACATATCATTTCAATGCAATTGAATACAATAATATGGCAAGTACTTAAGAAACACAGCTTTAAATTAGCAATTCAAAACATATGTGAATAATACGGATCAGCTATTAAATGCTGATCTGGATATGGTTAAAACCTAGGACTACTGTAAAGTTTTGTTTTACCAGCAAAATACATTATATTAAATAAACGTGGTAATGATGCCTAAAGTCATTGGTCTGGCCGGGATAATAATGGGCACCAATTGGTGTTAAAGGGCCCATGTCATGGCCATTTCCACTGATCATAATTACATTGTTGAGGTATACTAAAATAGATTTATACTGTGCAATTTTCCAAACTCACATTGGTTTCGCATACAGCATCTCTGTCAAGCATGTGTATTCAGCAGTATTCACTTTCTCCACTAAACGACTCGTTGGAGCTCTTGCCCCCCCCTCCCTGTGAGCCTAGTGTGCTCCGATTGGTCAGCTCGGCCACTCGTTCTGATTAGTCAACCACCAGAGAGGCTGCGCCCATGTCTAACAGTGCTTTTCCCGGCTGCTCTCAGCGTAACATCAGTCTTATCATGGCGTCGGCACAGCCGTATAGTTTATATACATATATATTTTTAACTGTTGTTATAGAAGAGTGTGACGGCCCCAGGGCCTTTGTCTTACGATGGGGTGGAGCTGAAGAGGCTAATCAGCACGATCACGGACACCTCCGGACACTACGGCCCCAGTCTCTCTCCAAAGCGGCTGCAGGAAGACTAACTCTGCGATCCTCTCAACCACCTATCTGCATTTACCACAATAAATGTGCCGTGGTTTTGTAAACTCGTGTATGTCTCCTTGTCTTTGTGGCCTACGAGCCGCTCATAACAAAGAGTAAGTTATTTTTACCCGTTATAAACTACTACTGTTTGATGAGAAATCAAATCATGGTTTGCTATATATGAATTCAGGGAAGAAAGGATAGGCCTACTAAGTATTTCAAATTAAACTTTATTTTTAGAAATGTACAAAATGAACATAAATATACATATATACACGGTATATCATCCATTCCTCCTCCTTGCATCTTGCCTGCGCACAGTCGGTGCGGTGCCTTTTAGCACGACGCCTCAGTAGTAGTAGAAGTGCCTTTTAGCACGTCATGGATTGTCCGCCAGGATCTGGCTGGACGAAATCAAATGCAAATCACAAAATATTAGAGAAACTTAGTTGTTTTAGATTCGTTAGTAGTAGTTGTGTAATGAACAGCTTGCCTGCTAATATGCTAACCTAGCTTTGTTTACCTTGGTAGCTAACACGATATGAACGTTAGCTTGGAGGAAAGGCAACTATAATGCAGTGTAATAAAACTACTATGAACAAAAGCTAGTGGTTCATATTAGGCTAGCAATAACGTGTTTATAATTGCAATCGTATACGGGTATTCTGCTACCATACAATGTAACTTGCATGAATACATTGTTTTGCGCTAGCATACAGCTAGCCTCGTTAGCTACATGCAGTATATGTACGGTCACAATGTACGGTAAATCACAGTACAGTATACTGTATGAGTATTCCGTGTGTGTGAATGCAGACATTCTCCTGCTATGAGATACATGTATGCAAGGCCATCTGCTGATATTAGAGTTGATATATGGAAACTCTAGCAACTTAGTTAGCACAGTTAGCACTGTGTCAATGGCTTAGCAGTCCAACACAGTTTACACATTTAAACAGTCTTGTTTGATAAATACACAAATAACAATGCAAACTTACAGGTTGTATACCCAGATCTTCCCCTGCTCCAAACGGTCCAAACAAGCTGTGCATATCCGGCCTCAAACTGGGCAATGTTTTGGAAGCTTTCGTCTGTGAAATGCCGGTTCTTCGAACCTCTGGAGGAGGAACACGCCGCTGCTGGTGTGGCCATAGCTCTTCGGGATTGGTCCATTTTGTTCCGGGTACCGCATGACATCAGGCGGTACCCGGAACTAAATGGAAGACTCAAATGGGCAGTGACGTATCTCCAACGAGGCGTTTTGGGGAGGTATTTTCTGTGTTAGAGTTTTACTCGCTACAGGGTGTACTTTGAGGGTTTTGACTCTGCACACCGTTTACATGCATAAAAACCTTCATAACACACAAGGGGACGGGTAATAACCGGAAAAGCATGACATGGGAGCTTTAAGTAAAGCGTTAATCTAAAACCACTCACTACTAACTATGCATTTTAAGAGTGTCATACTTCCAAATAAATATTATTGTTATATGAATGGATTTCAAAGATCCTAACCATCACCTACTTTTGTCAACAATCCCACAATAATGTAATGCAAATTATACATTGGTGGATAACAGCAATGCTAAATGACACGTCAGTGATGACAGGAAAACGGTGATGATGACGATCAGTAAGGGTCAGGCGATTTCCTGCTCATTATCGTGTCAAATATGAGTAGTTTATTATCTAGGCATGACTGATTGAGAGAAAAACGTTCCTAACAGCTGTTGATACAGCATTAGCTCTTTGTTAAGTACTGTTGACCTTGCTGCCAGTTATAGAACATCACGAAAACTACAGTGGCGAGATGGCTGTGGTTGTGTGTTGATACCATGTGTACAGTATGTCATTCATTTTTCAATCATAACATACTAATATTTATTTTGTATGTTCTCACTGGAAAACTTGATGTATTTCTTTCATTTTTCTTAATTCCAAAAGGAATGAATGAAATGCTAACAAAACCAAACCCTTTAAATTGCTACAAGGATTCAATGAATTATTGTTCTACAAACGAGATAACCCTTAACCCCTACAATCGTGCTGCAGACTGATGTGTTCCCGGGGCCTCTCGTGGGTGAGAGGAGGATAGTGTTAAGGAATCCATCAGATTTGTTGTCCTCCCACAAACCTTAGCTAATCAATGTACCATGGGCGGCAATTACAAATGAGTCCTTTAAAATCAGATCCTAAAATAGATTCATCATTAAAATGCATTGAACGAAGATCGTGAATCGATCACAGAATATCTAAGGAGATCCAGTGGTGCTGAACTCATTATAACATATTTAAGAACAACAATATGATCATCTCTCACGTTGGCATCACATTAAAGACAATGCCGTGAGAACATTGGATGGGACAAGATGAGAGATGGCTCTTGTGAAATATTTACTCCTCCTGCTTTTAATGCCCTGCAATATCTGACTGATTGTGTCTGACACCCCTTTAAAATTCACAGGAGATAGACAAAGGATCAGAGATGTATTAGACAACATGCAGGGCCTGCAAAAGACTGTGTTGTCAGTGTGTGTGTGTGTTTATGTGTGTTTGTCAGCAGTATCTGAAGCCCACAGTGCCATCAGGCTCTCAAAAGAGGAACTGCTTCCTCTCATAGCCCCCCCTCCCTCCTCATGTCTCCACTCCAGTCTCAGATACTTACATCTGATTGTATTTCTTTATTTCCCAGCAGCTTGTCACTAAAACATATATATGTTGCGATGGCAATATAAGTTAGTTTGTTTCAATTCACCGTCAGAAGAGATTATTTGTTAGAAAATGTATGTATCCGTGCGTCTGCATGCGCGTAAACGTGTTCTGGTGCGCGCTAACAGGGGGTGGAATCTCAACATACAAATCTGGACAGATAAGACAGGTTAACAAAACACGCAGTCTAAATAAATAAAACAGCAAATGAACGGACGGCATGTGCGCTGCGATCAACCATAGAGCACATCCACCCACCCATACACACACACAGTTTTACCACACACACACACTTGAGTGGGACACCGGGCAGAGTGCGTTCCGCCGATCATCTCCTCCCTCCCCTCAGCAGCAGATTGCTGTGCCTCTGACGACAGACAGTCACACAGTGTTGTGAGCGCGAGGCTGTGGAGAGACTGCATCAAGGAGCGAGGACTGCATGTGCGCTTGCATCGGGAACGGTGCGTGGGAGTTGTTCTCTCTCTACCTGCCATTTGCATTCCTTCTTTATTCTCCACGTTGATCCTCGGACGAGTGCGGGCGCACAGGGAGTCCCATTACCGAGGGAGGATCGCGCTGCGTGTGTGTGCGTGTGAGCGTGTGTGTGTGGGTTAAAAAAAACTACGGCTGTCATCTTAGAACCGCGGCACTGCTGTTGTGGAGAAAGTCGTTGGAAATCTGCAAGAAACGGGTGGCTGCTATCTTTTCTTCTACACCCCCTTCAATTTTATTGTTTTAAAGCTGTCTTTTAAGGCGATGGACTTGAGATAGTGCGTCTCAATTTGAGTGTTGGTGACTGGGAGTTGCCGTTGGGGAGAAATGCGAGAGGATGCTTGGAAGCAGTGAAGGATACAGCAGGTGAGTTTTCGATTAGGAAAGCACAAATTGGGTTCTCTTTTAACGCAGACTATTGTTCACAGTGTTCATTCTCATGTCGATGCAGTTTATAATGTTAGCTCAGGCCAAGGTTTTAAGAGGGGTGGAGATCCAGAATGCAGCGGTCTGGGCTACTTGGAAGGAAACATCCCTCAAAAAATGTGACTTATAATGTGTCTTGGGTGACGTTAATTATCACGATAGACTGTCCTAAAACTCCTTGGATAACATTCCGATGTCAAATCGGTATATTCCAAAATGTCCGAGAAAGTACGCGATGATAAGGGTAGAATCGGTTGACAGGACAGAAAAGCAAACGGGGACTTGAGTGTGCTTAGGCGCGTCCTCTGCAGGTACAAATCATCTAATCCTGGCACATTGGAAATTAATTTAGAGAAGAGATGTTATCCTTTCACATTTTGACAGTGTAATCTGGCCATTTCTCTGCGTATGTGTGCATGTCTGGGATGACGAAGGCTTTAAGCCATTCAAATGTAATTGTCCCGTGAATGTGAGTGTGTGAGAATGGGGCGTGTGTGTGTGCAGGGGAAAGGGGTATTTGGTGGGATTGCAAAATGTTATCTTAATCTAGCCTTTATTTGGCCACGTATGGACTTTGCTGAGATAACATTTCTCATTGTGTGGAAGTGTGATGCAGTCGTGATCATCCCCATATGCCATTTCATTCATCTGCAAAGATGGCTATCTGTTAAATGGGCAGCGTATTAAAGCAAAGCAGGCTTCTGCAGCAGGAGTCGTGCATTTCATTGATCCTCAGAAACGACTTTGGAATTTTTGGGTTTTTAATATGACAACAATGGGGTCCATAAGGGGCTTACACTGCAGGACACAGGATGAAACTTCTGTGTGTGTGTGTGTGTGTGTGTGTGTGTGTGTGTGTGTGTTTATGGGGCCACACACCGTATGTTGTTTGTTATTCAAGGCAGCATTTGCAGAGAATATATGACAGTGGCCCCTGAAATGTTTCCCTCTTTATTGTCTAGCACTGCTCCTTATAATAACACACCAAAACAGTTGCGGCAGAGTATCAGAAAGCTGTGTGATGCTGTGCCTGCGGACATTCATAAAGTGCTGTAGCTCTATTGGTTATAAATAGCCGGAGGCAGCGGACAGCCAGATAAAACAGGAGCAGCCTGCCATAGCTCGAGCAGCCTCTCCCTGCTTTATCAGCGCTCACCATCCAAAACGATAGATATCTGATACACCCCGAGATATCACACAGAGGCAGGGGCAAGTGTGTGGCACATGGGGCTTCATAGATGCATTATAGCCTCTTATGAGTGCTTTGTTTCCCTCCTTGGTTACATTCTCATCTTATTAAGAAATATCTGTAGTATTTCCCCTCTGCTAGGTCCCTTTGTGACACTCAATAGTGACTTTAGAGTCGCCTTATCACACCAGATGTTTCCCCTATAATCCTTTATACCGTTCACTGCATTCCTTTAGGTTTTTTCAACTTCACTTGCAGGCTTTAAATCGTATTGCTGTCGGGTTTTGATCTATGCGATGATTCGGGATGCTGCTGACTCAATCATGGCTGCCTTGCAACAGCCAAGAGGATGCTGAGGTGTGCGATCCGCTTTATCCACACGCCCTGGCTGCCTTCATTAAACAAATGTGCGGCCGCTGACCTTGGCCATCCAAGAGTTGTCAATAGGATTCACCTTTCTGCCCTGCGATAGGCTATAGGACATTAACAAAGAGCCCCCCAGCTCGCTCTCCTGCAACATTATGCTGCTGTTGACATACTATATTGAATTACAACACAATGATCAATGTTTGCAATAAGCTAAACCTCCACGCAGAGTATCAGATGTCTCAGGAAAATCATGCTGCTCATAACAGCATTATATGTCTACGAAGAAAGGTTACATCTTGGCATGTTTGTAATTTAGTCTCATGTAGAAAGGATGGAACAGCAAACCTATAAGACCAGAATAAGAGTGTGGGCCGCATTTCAATAAGTTGGAAATGAAATCAGCTTCACTGTAGATTTGTCAGCAGACCGGGGCAGAGGAGCAGTCGAGACGGAGTGGGCGGTGACAGTGTGGACCATGATGTTAGTGCATGATGACTGATCACAGACTTGCCTTCTCACAACGCACTAAATGACCAATAGTGTTAGTGAGAGGGCTAATGCTGGCTTATGACGTGTAAGCGCGTCTCTTGGAGACACTCACCCCGGGTGTAAAGCCGACACCTTCTGCATTGGCAAGGTGTTTATTAGCTCCCAGTTGTGAGGCCTTGATGCCTAGATTATCCACACGTTGCTGGGAGATTTTACCCGGGACGGCAATTATGTTGTCTTAATAAGACCTGGCTGCCATTCCACTTGATGCCAACGCCTTCATACATCTAATGTGCCCTGGGCTGGATAACATGTTCATAAAACGCCTGCGGTGGGATCACAGTATAGCTGTTTGATTGAAGGGGGGAGGGGGTTCTCGTTCACAAGTCGCTCTTGTCCTTGCTGGATACCTTTTGAGCTAGATGAGCAGGAAAAGCAGCTGCAAGTGTTGTCTCAAAGTCCTCAGAATGATGTGTTTTATCTTTTAAAGATGTATCATTGTGATATCTTTAAGTGTCAAATGTTTCACCTAATATGCAACTTTCACAGACAGGGTGACAACAGCACTTAAAGGTCCCCTATTATGCAAAATCCACTTTTTCATGTCTTTTATACATAACCATGTGTCCCCTCTGTGTAAAGAGATTCTGAACGTTTCAGGAAAAAAGATTCTCTCACTTTTTGTCCTGATCCATTTATATAACAACCAGTCTGAAAATGAGCTGATCAGATTTTGGCCACTTTATGATGTCATAACGATTTGTTGGCTTGTGTAACCATTAGCCAATCACCAACCAAGATAACACCCGCACAGTGGTGCAATGGTTTTTAGGCATGTGGGTGACAACACATCTAAATGTTCATGCTCCCGGCTCTATAAACAAATCATGCTGCTTTAACAAAGCTCTGTTGAATATCTATTAATGTATCCTGGTTTCCTACTGTAAATACTGCAGTGTATAAACACATGTGGGCATGCAGCCAATGCTTTGCCCTCCATTTTACCTTCAGAGTGATAGTGGCTTTAACAGTGTCATTTATGGAATCACATTTGTCCAACTGCATTGCCCTTAATCTTGTGATGATTCAAGTATCAACATAATTATTATATGCACTAATCCAGACTTTGCACACACCTTGTTTTATCACATTGGCCACAAATCTGAAAAAACTACATTTTAAAATGAAATCGAAAAATAGCAGGTTCCCACATGGTCTAAGCCACACGGTGTAATGCATTTCTATAGAACACATCCACAATCTACCCTTTACGATTATTAGGAGGCTTCTAAATGTCATGCATTCAAATATGCCTGTGGGGTTCATTTAGCGTTCAAGGATTCATGTAAAAAACGCTCCCAAAAGTGCACCTAATTCTGATCTGCCTCACGGTGTTGTGAAAAAATGTCTTTAGAGAGTTTCTGAAAAGGTGCCTTGAGAGAGCGATTTCACCTTTTATGTTTGAGAAAAATCAAGGAGTCCACAAAGAAAAGCTGGATTAGCATTTATTTTTCAAATGGCAACCGCCGACAGGAATAGATGGACTACACAGTATGCTTAGAGCACTTTACCTCTACAAGGCTAAAACATATTCAGGATCCACGTGTACGGCATTCATTTAGATGTATTCTAAAAGTCCTTGAGCATTGCCAACATTCAATACAATTATATTCCAAACAATCTACAAAAGATGCCAAGTCCTAAGAAGTGTTTACAACCCTCTTGAGAGAACAATTGCATTAGGGACTAATCAGTAACTATGCTGGCACCCCTGTTGCCATGCAGACTTAAACTTAAACGCCCATCTTTTAGACAACTGTGAATGGCATGTGTGTCACTCTGTTAAGCTGCTAGTGGGCTGTAAATTACACTGTTAGAGGCTGTCGGTGGCCTCAAATTGACAGCCGTGAATAGGAGGTGACAGCTAAAACATTTTAGTCACAAGATGCTGAAGTAAATGGCAAAATGCACTCTTTGATTTCACTTATTCCCTGAAACTGAATGCAAATGAGATGTTACATGGAATCCATATCCATTGTGTTATACAATGCCTTTTTCTTTCGATCTTTGCACTGAATATTATTGTCCCATATGATATTCACAAACTTATTTATAACTGGAGTCTGTTGTAAATTGTTTTGCGGTGGTAATGATTGCTATTGTGTGGCAAAATTACAGTATGTCGCATATGTTCTACTGAAAGCATCTATTCACACAGTGCTATTCACTCATGACTGGAAACCCAATAGTGGGACAATAGAAACTCCACTCATACAGCCTCACTTGAATGGAGCGTATGATATTTTCCAGAAGTGGGAACAAGATCTGCGTTTCTGCCCCACCTCTCTGGTGTAATAGCTGTTAGAATACCCTATTGAGATGCATAGTTCACACAGTTCAGTGTTTAGGTAGTGAGATAGCACTCAACTCTCAATATCTTTGTCTAGTAGGCTGACCGAGGATCTACTTCAAGTTGAAGTGAAGGTGTAATTTGCCCCGGATTCCCTACAGATCTCCTCTGATTTTATAAGCAAAAGAGGAAGTATTTGTACTAATAATGAAGTCCTTTTTCTCCTGGGTAATTCTGAGATGATTCTCCCAGGTTTCGGCTAACAGATACCTGACCTGTTCCTAGCCATTGAGGTAATTCATGTTTGAGTAAGGTCTGACATGTCTCTGAACTTGTTGTGTTGCTTTATCATGGCACTGTAAAATGGCCAAAACTATATCTGTACCAAACCAAGTTCATTAATGGCATGGCCACCGCTGTTCAAGTACATTATAGACGGACTACACTCTGTGATACTAGGATTAAAGGGTTCTCAAATCATTCACATATTTGAATGTACTCCAAGCCCATTATCCCCTCCTTCTGTCAGATAAGTGTAGGTGC